TCTCAGGGCATTTTTAATCCACTCATCTACTGATGGGCACTCGTACTGTTTCCAGATCTTAGCAATTGTCAATGGCGCTGCTATGAACATAGGGGTGCATATGTCGTTTCTGATGGGTGTTTCTGGTTTATGGGGATATATTCCTAGAATTAGGATCACTGGGTCAAATGGAAGCTCCATTTTTAGTTTTTTGAGGAAACTCCATACTGTTCTCCACAGTGGCTGCACCAGTCTGCATTCCCACCAGCAGTGCATGAGGGTTGTGCTGGCAAGGATGAGGAGAAAAACCCTCGTGCATTTTGGAATTTTTATTGGTAATGTATTAATTTTTCAAAGGATTGTTTGTGGAGGAATTGTCTTTATTATGTGGATAATACTTTTGTGTGAGCCTGTAGGGGTGTTCGTGTTGACCAAGTCAACTTGGCATATACGGTTGCCAATACCAAAAGGTGCAAGACAAGTAGGAGCTCAGTGAAGTTCCCAGAGATCCAACTGATGGACAGGATCTTGTGATATTGGAAAGAAGGAAGGGAAGATTGTAGATCCAGGGGTTCTGTGAGCTGACTGTGCACCTGAAAGTATGGGTGGAACCCTTCGCTGTGTGCAAGCTGGCTTGCATGTATCTGGCACACAAAGAAGCTCAATAAATGTTTGTTGAATGAGTGCACGATCGAATGAATCAATTAATTTTTGGAGAACCTATTGTATGCCAAACAACTTGCTAGTGCTTTACATACATTATCTCTAATCCTTATAACAACTCCGCCAGACAGTTACTATGACTCCAATTTAATAGGTCAGGAAAGCTGAGGCTCAGAGAGGGCAAGTCCCTTGCCCATATCCAAACCCTGGTCTTTAGATTCCAGAAGTCATTCCCCGAAAGGATCAGATCCATTTCCACTCTTCCACTCATTCATCGTCAAGGATTTATTAAGCACCTATCGTGTAGCCCAACGACCTAATACAACAACCGCTCCAGTGACAGAGCATGCGGAGGACTCCCAGGAAGACGAGCTGAGCGGCTGGACTGTGGGTACCGAAAGGGCGGGGTTTCTGGTGCAAATTTCCAGGGTATGTAGCTGTCTAGGCTACGTAGTTATGGCTTTGGCTAGACTAGATCGAGGTTAAAGCGAGGTCTAGGAAGCTGGTATTATGCATATTGGCGGACAGGGGGCGCAGTTCCGCAGCTAGAAAAGTGGCCTGAAAATCTGGGCGCCTACCGACCATCCGTGCGCAGGCGCAGAGAACCCAAGGAGCGGCTTATTGCCCAACCGGGGATAGTTTCAGAGAAGAAGGCGTGGCTTAATTAATTACCTCTCGCTGATTTGCTTCTATCACTGAGGGCGCGGCCTAGGCTCCCTTCTCAGAATGAGGGCCGGCCAATCTAGTTTTCCCTCCGCATCAGAGGCGTGGTTTAGGGCGGACACTTGAAGCAGCCCTTGATGATTGGCCGCCTCGCTCAGAGGGCAGAGCTGGCAGAGCTGTCCATCTTACTTGCGCTCACTTCCTGTGGAGTTTCCCCAGCTCAGGGAGGAGGGGGAAAAGGACAAGGGGGAGGAGGGCGGTCGTCCGGGGTTAGGTTCTTAGGTGGGGGGGCTGGTGTTGGTCCGTTCAGGGCGGGGGATGACTCACAGCCCATCCCATCTCCCCCAAGGCCGCCCGCCCACGCAGAGCTCGCTGCATGGCTTAGAGGAGGAGGCGGTGGCCAGCAGGGGGAGGGGGACTCTTATTTTGTTAGGGGGACCGGGCTGAAGACTGACCGGCCTGGCAGGGATCACCTGGGGCCGGGCGTCATGTCTCATGTGGCCGAGCCAGCTCGGGACGGCATAGAGGCCAGTGCGGAGGGCCCTCGAGCCGTGTTCGTGCTGTTGGAGGAGCGCAGGCCGGCCGACTCAGCCCAGCTGCTCAGGTGCGGGGCTGCTTGGGGCCAGTAGTGCTGACTGGGGTTCCCGGGAGCCTGATTTGGGTGCAGTAGGGGCCCCGGTCTGGGATTGGAGGGCCTCGGCCTAGGGTTGGAGGACGTCGGGGCGCCCGTCTTGGGGGGGCACCTAAGGAATCCGGCGGTGGCCTGCTTGAACTGAAGCTTAAAAAGAGTCCTGGAAGTGCATTAAGGGAAGCCTGGTTCAGATTTGGAGGTGGGGGTTGACTGGGTCTCTAGAGGGACTTATTCTGATGTGTTCAGAAACAGGTCTAGGGTAGCTGAACTTGGGCGACTGAGGCTCTAATTAGAGGCTGAATTTGGGGTCCTTGAGTCCGGCATGAGGGGGATGAAGTTGAGGGGGCACTCTGTAGGTGAGGCACTGATTTTAAGGGACTTTTAGCTCAGTGTCAGAGAAGGGTTTCTGGGGGACAGAGGTGCTTTCTTGGGAGCTTGGTGATTCTCAATGGCTGGTTGCTGGAGGCTGTGCTTGGGGATGATATGAGTCCGGTAGGATTTGGGGGTGTCTCAGATAATGCTGTGTGAGACCAGCCTTGTGAGTGTGTGAGAGCGAGAGAATCAACATTCATCAAGACTTGACCAGAATAATCTCTTCACTCCCAACTGAATCAGATCCCAAGGAGAGTGAAAAAGCGCCCCCTCCATCAGGGCTTGAATGGGAGACAGGCAGACAGAGGTGATGGAGATGGTGCTACCTCTTAGCTCAGTGAAGAAGGCTTCAGACTTTATTTGGGAACCCAGAGGAGGGTCTTGTTCCTATTGCCACCTGCCTTAGCCTCTTAGCAAGCCAACCTCTGCTCACTGCATACACACACACACACACACACACACACACACACACACGCACATACATGTTCTTTTTATCTCACCCTCCTACTCTATCTCTCAGACCCTGGGGGTAATCTTGAATCTGTCAGCAGAGCTGGAATGAGCACCAATTGCACCATCCCTATCTGGGTGGGTCTTATCATCAGCGGCCTTGGAAGCCCCAACCCCCATTTCTCCCAAGTTCTGTGCAGTGGGTCTGTAAGCATGGGAGGGGGCTTTGCCTACTTTCTGCCTGGAATTGTGCTGAGCTCGGCGGATCCTCGAGCTTCCTCTTCCCAACTTCCTGGGTGGTTTTAGGGCCCCATCTGAGGGAGAGGAAAGGAAGGAAGACAGATCTTTGGGGAGGGGAGAAAATTCTTGCCAAGTGAAGTCACCCCCAATCTCAGAATTCTGAATCTTTGACTAAATTCAAGGATGCATATCCATCTGCGTGCAGGATTAGGTCCCCTGCACACTAGGATCTTACTCCCAGCATGGAGGCCTGAGCAGGAGCCTTTGCGTATGTTCTGATGCCTGTATAACAACCTAGATCATCACAGTAGTTCAAAGGGAGGGGTGTACATGACTTGTGTGTCAGTGGGTGTTGGTATTGGAGGCGTGTGCCTTTTGATCTCTTCCAAAAAAACTGGAGAGTGGTGGGCCGGCTCATCTGGCCAAGAAAAGAAAGCTCGCATAAAGTGGATGTTCCACCCAAATGCTCCCTCTTGTAAATCCAGATTGTTGCACCGAGGGCAGCCTTTGCTATTTCCATTTCGTATTTGGGTATGTGTTGGCATCCCGTGAACTCTGGCCGGGGAGGGGGGAACTCATTTGCAAAGTGGTGGATCCTTCTATAAAGTGAATCATTGACCCCAGTTCTCTTTGTGATGCATTCAGTTGGTGTCACAATGGGCTGTTATACTGAGGGATGCCCCTACCGTGCTGCATGTGTGTGGACAACGTGGGCTCACATTCAGCAGCCTGAAAAACAGTAGGGGGTATGGGGGCTGGGAGAGCTCTGAATGCAAAGTCAGGACTCCTGCAAAGTGAGTCTGGCATTCCTACATTCTTCACTTCCATTTTCCTCAAACCCAGGTTGTGGTAACACGTGAGTGTTAGGGCACGGTGTTGGGATCCAGGCACTTTTATTGTTTTGAATCTTAAGGGACTATCGGTAACACAGCAAAAGATAATGGGGTGGGGGAGAGGGCGTGGGAATTTATGGTGGTGCTACCCAGCGGAGTGGCTGAATGTTAGAGATACACTGTTTTCCTTATCTTCCCCGCCTCTCTCTTTCTCTTTCTCTTTCTTGGAGGGGATTGAGGTCTCCATACAATAACTGACCACCACCCCTACCTCACCCTCACCCTCAGCCTGAACTCTTTGCTTCCGGAATCTGGGATTGTTGCTGACATCGAGTTAGAAAACGTCCTTGATCCTGACAGCTTTTACGAGCTCAAAAGCCAGCCCCTACCACTACACTCAAGGTAATGTCTCCTTTGATTCCTCTCCCAATTCCTCAGGGCCCTCCATTCCCTCTTGCTGGGCAGTGGCCCTCAGTGCCAGCCCGACCCATTCTCTCCACCAGTTTGTATTTTCCAGTCATTAAAATAAGGGGCCGGAAAAATCATGTTACATGAAAGCAGGTGGCCAAGCTAGGATTCCAGTATCTCGGACTAGACCTCAGCTGCCTCCCCCAACCCTACCTGCACACCCATTCATTCACAAATATGGCTGCAGCATCCCTAGAGTGCCCAGAGACTGGGTGTGCCTTGCTCTAGCTCAGTGCTGAGGTAGGCGGAGCCATACCCTCAACCCCTGCTCACCCTTCCCCCACTCAACAAACTCCCCCACCCCCCAGCCCTTGAGGAACCCCTGCTGGTCTCTTCTTTCCCCAAGCTGGGGAAGTCTAAATGTGCTGAGTCATGGGCTTGGGCTCTAAGAGAGGGGAGGGGACCTGGAAGAGGGGCAGGAAGAGAGGATTGTGAAATTTCTGAGATTTTCAAGACTGAGTAGCTCCTGGGACTAGAGGCCCAGGCAGGGGAGGAAGAAGGTACTGCGATTGTCCTGTAGCCTGATGCCCACCCCCGGGAGCTAAGGGAGCATCTCCAGCCCCAAATTGAGCTCAAGAGCCCTCTGTATCTACGGCCACAGCCTCCCTTAAATAGGATAAAGCCCCTTGCCCACAGCCAAGCCGTGGCATCTCTGCTCAATATAGGAACAGACCCAAATTGAGACTTCACCGTAAGGAATGAAGGCTAAAATCCCCCCCACCAGACTGACCCCTGAGGGCTGCTACCAGGCCTGGCTCCTGTGATTTACTCCGTCACATTAGGTTTGGGACAAGACTTTTAGCTTACTTGTGGCCCCGTATTTCCCATTCCACAGCCTCCCAATATCACTGCAGGCCACACCAGCCACCTCAGCTACACTGTCTGCATCATCTTCTGCAGGGGGCTCCAGGACCCCTGCCATGTCCTCTTCTTCTTCATCGCGGGTCCTGCTGCGGCAGCAGCTCATGCGGGCCCAAGCCCAGGAGCAGGAGAGGCGTGAGCGTCGGGAACAGGCTGCAGCCTCTCCCTTCCCCAGCCCTGCACCTGCCTCTCCTGCCATCTCTGTGGTTGGTGTCTCTGCTGGGGGCCACACATTGGGCCGTCCTCCCCCTGCTCAGGTGCCCAGGGAGGTGCTCAAGGTAAGGTCCCAGAGTCCTTGGGGAGTGGTCCTGGTGACTTTTAGCTCAGGTCCTGGGGCCCTAAGGAAGGTCTTTAGGTGCTGTTAAAGTAGGCTGTGCCAGTATCCCATTGTGTTTAAGGTTTCTGAGATTTTCTTGTGGGATTGTGAGGGGTTCTTAGGGGCCATAGGATGTCTTGGTGGACCATGGAGGGTAGGGAGTGCCCCAGGTGGGCCCTAGGGTGCCTGAGGAGTGGCTTTGGAGGAAGAGATGCATATAGATGTGGTGCATTAGGAGTTCTGTGGCTTTTGGATGTCTTGGGAAGCAATATGTAGTTCCTGGGTCTGTTCGGTGGTATCTTGGGTGGAGTCTTGGGGACTGTGACAGGGGCGGGGGCTCCAGAAACTGAGGGGTTTGACCATCCGTGGGTGGATCCTAGTGGCTTTGAGGGGTGTCCAAGAAAGGGAATTTGGGTGCTGGGAGAGACTTACCAGTATTTTGGGGGGTTCTCAGACTCTGGGCCCGGTTTGCCCAGAGGTACCTCTCTGAGTCCTGTTCTACCTTGTCCCCTCCTGTCCCTCCTTCCCCTTATCCCACAGGTGCAGACCCATCTAGAGAACCCAACACGCTACCACCTGCAGCAGGCACGCCGGCAGCAGGTCAAACAGTACCTGTCCACCACACTTGGGCCCAAGCTGGCTTCCCAGGCACTCACCCCACCACCGGGGGCTGCTAGTGCCCAGCCGCTCCCTGCCCCTGAGGCCACCCATGCTACTGGCCCTACAGGCAGCGCCCCCAACAGCCCCATGGCACTACTCACCATCGGGTCCAGCTCAGAGAAGGAGGTACGTGGCTGCAGACAACGCTCCCATGCTCCACCCTCCAACTTCTTTTTTTTTTTTTTTCACCCTCCAACTTCTGCTAACCCTCCTCCATATTTACTTCTGTCCCCAGATCGATGATGTCATTGATGAGATCATCAGCCTGGAGTCCAGTTACAATGACGAGATGCTCAGCTATCTACCTGGAGGCACTGCGGGGCTGCAGCTCCCCAGCACGGTAAGGCCCCGAGATGGGAAGTTGGTTTAACAACTTAGCGCATCTCTGTGTCACTGAGACTACATCAGGATTGGCTATATGTATAAGAGACCATGACCGTCACCGTGGATTGTATTAAGATAGAGAAGGAGACTATATGATGATAAGGGGCATAGCAATGCCCTGAGGCCTTTAGTTGGATTGCATGGAAAGGTAGACCTTGTAGATTTTCTTTTTTTAGAGAGTGGGAGGGGGAGAAAGAGAGAGAGAAACATCGATGTGACAGAGACACATCAATTGGTTACCTCTGCACCTACCCAACTGGGGCAGGGATCGAACCCCCAACCCTTGGTGCATGGGCTGATGCTCTAACCACTTAAACACACTGGCCAGGGCAACCTTGCAGATTTTAATACATACAGGATGGGGACTTCCTGTATGTATGAAACTATTAGGGCATAATAAACTGCTCACTCAAACTTGAATGTAGGAGGGACCAAGAGATGGGACTATTTATTTATTTATTTATTATTACTTTTTTATTAATCCTCACCTGAGGATATTTTTCCATTGCTTTTCAGAGAGAGTAGAAAGGAGGGAGGGCCGGGGAGAGAGACAGAGGAGAGAAAGAAAAATAAACTGGTTGCCTCCCCCGCACACCCCAACTGGGCTGGGGATGGAACCTGCAACCTAGGTTCGTGTCTTTGATTAGGAATCTAACCCGTGACCCTTCGGTGTGCGGGCCCCCTAACAGCTGAGCCACAGCAGCCAGGGCAAGATTGGGGGGTCTTTTAGCCTTTTGAATGTATCAAGAGACTGAAACACTCCAAAAGTCTCAAAACTTGACATGGTTGGACCTTGAAGTGATTCCAGGTACTGTGCCTCTGGCAGTGAACTGTGCCAAGAGGCTGGGGCCTTGTAGAGAGTGGATAAAACTTTCTAAAGCAACAAATATATCAAACATTGTAATATTCTGGTTCTCAAACATTGCAAGAGTCCCATAACTTGTTTCAGGGCATACCAGATGGCTGTAGTTTTTTCTTTCCAACTTACCAAGAGGATAGAAGCATATATAAAAATTATACCAGTTTATCAGAACTTTGTGTCGATTTGGACACAGCTAGAGATTGCAATCTTATATTAGATGGAAGCAACAGATTGGTAGGGGTTTCAAGAGATGAAATCCTCTCTAGAGATGGGACTAATTACTTACAGATTAGTATGTCGCCCTAGGGTGTATCCAGGAGAGTGCAAAGGGGAGAAAACAACGTAGGCGGAAATAAAAGCAGAGCTAGTTGTGTAGTTGGACAGGAAATCCTAGGAGGTCAGAATATGCAAGAAGATACTCGAGTCAGAGCGTTGGTGCATGGCAGCTGGAGACTACGTATGTGAGGTGGTGCAACACGGTCACTGCAAAAGACTGGAGATCGGGCTGGAACTCTTCAGAAGGCCAGATTTGGGATGGAACGTTGCCATGACAATTTCCCCAAGGTCTGAGGCGATTGGGTTGGAGTGTTCCAAGAATGCTGGATTGGAATGTCGTGCTGGGATGGGGTGGGGGTGGGGATGGGGGGCTGATGGACTGAAATGTTCCATCGGAGTCCACAACGACCTGAGAAGGGTGGCTTTGCAGCATTTCTTCTCTCAGAGCCGGCCCTGGGTTTGGGAGAGCAGCTTCAGAGCTCACGGGGGGATTGACCTGAGGGGCTGCAGGAGCATGATGAACAGGCCAGGCAGGCTCTAGTCCCCGGCACAGCAGGGTAGGTCCATTTGATCCTGTCCTCCCTTATTTTTTAAAATATCCATACTTTTAAAAAATATATTTTTACTGATTTCAGAGAGGAAGGGAGAGGGAGAGAAGATATAGAAACATCAGTGATGAGAGAGAATCATTGATTGGCTGCCTGGTGCACACCCCACACTGGGAATCGAGCCCACAACCCAGGCATGAATGGAAATTGAATGGTGACCTCCTACTTCATAGGTTGACGCTCAACCACTGAGCCTCACCAGCCTTATTGAGTCACCATGTGAAATTCCCTTGAAAGAGAAGATTCCTGTACTGAGTCAGCCAATCCTTGCATTAGGGGACATGTCTTTGGGGATGCGTAGAGGGTCGGGAGCCTGGTTCTAAGACGGGGCTGAGCCTGGGGTCTGTTGCCAATCATCCTTTCTCTGCTATGCCTGCCCGCAGCTGCCTGTGTCAGGGAATCTGCTTGATGTGTACAGTAGTCAGGGTGTGGCGACACCTGCCATCACTGTCAGCAACTCCTGCCCAGCTGAGCTGCCCAACATCAAACGGGAGATCTCTGGTAAGGGCCAGGCTTAGCCCCATGTCTGCCAGGTGTGGGGGTGGGCCTGATTGTGGGGGAAGGGGTTTAAGCAGACAGAAATGGGAACTCATTGCCTTCTTTTTCCACATGGCCCATGGTCCTACTTTCACCCCACTGCCTCTCATGTTGGGTTTAACAAATGGCCCATCACCATGGCTTCTTGAAAAACAGTAAGAAGAATGGCATTTTTTGTTAATTCTCACCTAGGGATATTTTTTCCCATTGATTATTAGAGAGAGTGTGTGGAAGAGAGGGAGAGAGAGAGAGAAACAGAAACAGAGAGAGAGAAACATTGATGTGAAGGAGACACATCAATTGGTTGCCTCCTGTACCCTGACTGGGGCCGGGGATCAAACCTGCAACCCAGGCAATTGCTCTTTTACAGAGGAAGGGAGAGGGATAGAGAGTTAGAAACATCAATGAGAGAGAGACGTTGATCAGCTGCCTCCTGCACACCCCCTACCGGGGATGTGCCTGCAACCAAGGTACATGCCCTTGCCCGGAATCAAACCTGGGACCCTTCAGTCCGCAGGCCGACGCTCTATCCACTGGGCCACGCCGGCCGGGCCTAAAGAGCAACTCTTCAGTCCCAGCTCCTAGCACTGCCTAGTGATGGTGAACCTTTTTTTTTTTTTTTTAAAATTTTATTGATTTTTTACAGAGAGGAAGGGAGAGGGATAGAGAGTTAGAAACATCAATGAGAGAGAGACGTTGATCAGCTGCCTCCTGCACACCCCCTACCGGGGATGTGCCTGCAACCAAGGTACATGCCCTTGACCGGAATCGAACCTGGGACCTTTCAGTCCGCAGGCCGACGCTCTATCCACTGAGCTAAACCGGTTTCGGCCCAGGCAATTGCTCTTAACCGGGAATCGAACCCACGCCCTTTGGTCCGACGCTCTAACCACTGAGAACACTGGCCAGGGCAAGAGTGGCATTTCTTAAAAATATATTTTTATTGATTTCAGAGAGGAAGGGAGAGAGATAGAAACACCAATGCTGAGAGAGAATCATTGATCGGCTGCCTCCTGCACGCCCCCTACTGGGGATCGAGCCCGCAACCCAGGCATGTGCCCTTGACTGGAATCAAACCCGGGACCCTTCAGTCCTCAGGCCGAAGCTCTACTATGCACTGAGCCAAACCGGCCAGGGCAAGAGTGGCATTTTAAAAAGGTCATTTCCCCTGCATGTGCCCACCAAAGCCTACCTCAGCAACACACACTGCCCTCCTTCTTTCCCATGCCCAGAGGCCCTGACTACCTCCACTCTCTTCCAGAGACAGAAGCCAAAGCTCTTTTGAAGGAACGGCAGAAGAAGGACAATCACAACCTAAGTGAGTGAGAGCATATGCCCTTGCCACCATGCTCTGCAGCCCTGCCTCGCTCTGTGCCCCATCCTGCCTTGGGGGTCCCCTCCCAGAAACGGCTTCCCAACGC